AGTCACTTCAGGACTTTTGGGTATTATTTCAAAATCATGATTGGGATACAATAAATACCATGATCTTGGAATATCCTGCAGAGATATTATGCCATGATAAAGAAAAAAAATTGTGCAAAACCGTCGACCTATTGGAAGTGGAATGCAAAAAAATGTTTTTCCAGAATACCTATTGCGGACATGTAGGCCATGAGCTAAACGTTTACCACTCTATTGTGACTACTAATTATATACAACATTAAGAACAAGATCCAAAAATGCTAGGACCAAAATAAAATACTATTTTTGGCATCTTACATCAAAGTAGAGTAAGTCCGATTCGAGCGAGTTTGAGTTTACTCGACTCGATAGCTCGGGCTCGGAACTCAGGATCCTAATCCTCGGCATTACTCGTACTCGGAAACTTCTTACTCGACGGACTCGGTTAAAACCGAGTCTACTTCAAAGCATAACGAATAATAGTTTTTATTATAAAAATACGGGGGTAAAAGCTGGGTTTTTGTTAACGAAATATAAATTTATAGGTAAACTATATTAATCTAGAGGTAAAATAAACTCGAGAATTTTCTGAAAAAATTTTACCGAAATTTTGGCCAAAGATTTTATCAATTTTATTTTGGACAATTTCTTCAGATGTTAAATTATAACTGCATTTTTCTTTCAAATTTTGTTCCTTCAAATCTTTTCTAACTACTGTAGAATTGTCTACTAATATGCATGAAGGGTTTCTTTTTTCTGTTCCAAAATTTATCTCATAAAAATTGATTCCCTTCTCATAAATAGCCGAAGTACATAATACAGTTTTAGTTAAATCACCTTTACCATCCTCCTAAATTAAAAATATTTTAAACCAGATTTTAATTATTTTATTTCACAACTTGATGTTTCTAAAATCATTAGGTTCTGGCTTTAAATTTAATGAAGCGCATTTTAAATTTTAATAAAATATTTGTCATATATAAAATTTTCAATTAAGGCAGTATGGATGTACATGTTTTAAAATGTTATTTAAAAATATGTAGGACTGGCGAATTTCCCTCCCAGCTTATCAAATAAAAATAAAATAATCAGACAATTGGCAGGATGTTTTCAATAGCATGTCCCAAATCTTTTGCTATTTTTGGCGTGGGTTTGGCCGCCTTACTAGATAAATATTAAAAACAACAATTCTTCCTAAATTGCTCAAAAATGCTTTTTTGAAACCCAGAAAAGCCTATCTAAATTTTTTTCTAATTTTTACAAAACATTCCTTGGCTAAAATATATTTGTTTTCCGGACATATTTTTATTCTCTTACATCCAGATTTATACTTTTTTCTAGAACCTCTAGTTTGTTTTTCATTTTTATTTAAATGTTCCAATTCAACTTTATTCTCCTCATTTTCTTCATTTTCACATTTAACAATGACTTTCGATTCATTCAAAGTTCTGGTTTCCCAAAAAATTGGATAATTCGAAAAGGATCTTTAAATAAATTTATTATTTTATCATTATCTTCTTCTTCACTTTTTGCCAATATTTTGTATTTTGCCTTGTCTTTATGAAGAATAACATAAACTATTGAATTGTTTTCCACCATTATAGGTTCAATTATCTAAAAAATTGGAATAATTTCGGAAAACGAACAGAGTCGAAATAGGTCGAATTATATGTCATTCGAAAGAGCTCGTCAAGCTGAGTCTAATGGTGAGTCGACATTAAACTCTCAAAAAGTGTAAACGAACATTGTATCCATTAATCGAAATTTCCAGATTATATTTACTGCCTCCTAGCATCTTTTCAATAATATCTTGTTGGGTAAAATGAAAGTTATCATATCCGTCTGTTTTTCCAACAAACAGTTGTCCACCTCTCAGCAAATTTCCTGTTAATTTCAAGTCGAAACGTTCCTTTGTTTCATCTGTCAAGTGATGCGGGTATTCAAATTTGTTTCCTTCAACTTCCCTCCGTGATATCTTTACAAATATGGACAATGGTTCAACATTTTCATAAAAGGTGTTTAAAACAAAAAATAATAAAAATAACCACATTTTCTGAAATACATTTTTAATATTAAAATTTTATAGAGCTGTGTTTTATTTGTTAAAAAAGGTATCAAATTAAGTAAATAACTCAGAACTCAAGTCGCCATAGAGCAGCACATTTATTATTAATTGAATACTAAAAGATGACGAAAATAATAAAAAAAATTCTGTCTCCTTGGCCATCGGACTAGGTTTAATAGTTTGAGACTTGGATTTTTATTTATTTCAGAAAATGTTTAGCAATAAAAAAACTTTTGATGAAGCATTATTTTTTAATTTTAAATTTTTAAAAATGGCGAGGAAAGGGCAGAGGATAATTGAATGAGAGGGAAAATGAATGCCTGCTCGTTACACTCGATTATGCGCATGCGTCTAATTCTTTAACAATAGACAAGACTTGATTAAATTGATTTTCGAAATTAGAAAATTGATTAAAATGGAGAGAGAGGGGAAGAAAGAGAAGAGAGGAAGAAAGGGAGGGAGGAAAGAAAGGGAGGGAGGAGGAAAGGAAGGGAGGAGAGGAAGAAAGTCAAGGGCATGAATCGTGGAATGAGTAAGTTTTATTATTGCTAACATAACTTACATAAGAGTTTTAAGATAAAAGAGGAAAGGCCGGCAAGGACCTTTCCATTTGAGGTATTTGACAAGACTTAAGGCTGAAGACCTTTCTATGAATCGGTCAAGTTCAAATTTGATCAGTTTTTTAGGCTTGCCGACAAAGAGAGTAAAATGCTCTTTATGATTTACTGTTAGAGTTCAACGTCACACGTTAGGGACGTCTTTAGACAAATTAAACAGTCAAAATGTCAGCCAGATTTTTAACTATATAAAAACCTGCTACACTTCTTACCTGGATTATCTTCTCCCCCCTCTCAATTTGAAATTTTCACAACTGACTACAACTTCCACCACAATAGTACAATCACACCACAACTGTCTACAATAGTTGTCTTGTATACCTCTAAAGATTTGAATTAAGATCAATCCTTAAAATTTTCACACTTAACTAAATATTTATTCTATATTGCTTACGGTAGATGGATACAAACCGACCCTTATTTTTTTCCTACACCAAGGCTGCCTCGAAACATTGGAATTAAAATGCTTTTATAAAGTTTAATCTAGGGTAACAATCCGACCCCTGAAAAGCGTGTTTTACATCACACAATACATGGTAATGTACTATTTATCTTATCAGGTGAGGTATTATTCAAAAGAGCTAGAAAAGAACACCCCAACTTACCGCAGAGTTATAACTTCGTTCAGAATTGTCGAATCTGGGACACCAAGTATCGTTCGATGCCTTGTCTCTAAATCCTCTAACAATAGGCAGGACTGAGTTAAATCGATTTTCAAAATTAGAAAATCGATTATGGCGTGGAGGAGGGAGGGGGAGGAAGTCGTAAAGTGCTTATGAATGTTGTAGGTTTTATTATGTTGTAAGTTTTCTTAGTGCTAACATATAATTTAATAGACAAAATGCGGTGTGGTTATAGCAATTTTTATTTCATCTGAGTTGAAGCTGAAAAGTTTTAAAAACATAAGAAAGAATTTGCCAGTTGAATTGTGCAGGAAAGAACTTTTCCATTTTGGATTATTTGATAAGACATCCGAGATACTTTTACTCTTAATCGGTCAAGCTAAGAAGGTTGCTCAGGTACTCCTGCTTGCTGAGAGAATCGTCAGCTGTGTAAAAAACTTAATTAATAGGAATTAGCTATAAAACAATATGTCAAAAATTAAAACTTTCCCTCCAACATTAATTTATACCCTACTTTCTTATTGAATTATGGAAAATTTATAATCAACATAACATTAATTTACAAGAACAATACATATTTAAAAATAAATTTTATATTAAGAGAAAGGATTAAAAAATAAAATTTAAAAATTTTTTAATGGATAGTTGTTAAATACTTTATAATTAGTTGTTAAATACTTTATAATTTAATGAATAATTTACAACCATTTTATAATACTTGTTAAAACGTTGAGTAATGTTTAAAATAAATAAAATGATTTACAAAGAAAATATGTACATATCTGGGCTGAACAAACGTTTAATTCATTTTTCGATTAAACTTATCAATTTGTATTTGTTGTTCCAGCCCAGCCCTGTAATCAGAAGTTTCAACCTTCCAGTCCGGTTTTTGTTACTACATTTCTGAATAAATCGTAATACAACAGCATTAAACGATGTTAAATGTTGTATTTTGAATGAATAAACCAAAACATTAACACTTTTCGGGGAGGCAACGCCACGGGGTGACCGGGAAATTTTTTTTTCACAGGGGGGAGGGGATGAACGGAGGGAAGGTGAACAAATATCTCAAATTTCGCGACTTTCGGGGACGGGGAACAACCCTAATTCAAAGTCTGTAAATTGGTGACAAAAATTCTTAGAATTTATGAGTATAAAAGAGCAATACAAAGATAAATTGAATTTTTGGATTTAAAAACTGGACATCTCGTATTTACATCGGCGACGTATTGTTATGGAATGGGAATGTTGACCGTGTTTCCAATAATGCTTCACATGCTTCTAAATTCTCTTTGCATTCACTGATGAGGAGAGAAAATTGAACCTGCATTGATAAATATACATATTAGATTTTAAATATAAAAAATTTAATAGAACATGGCTCGATTCAATTTTTTCAACTCTAGAATTCAACACTTACTCAAATCCTGAGGTTCATCATTATTCCAACCAAATTTCAAATCATCCTCCAACATTTCATCAGTTTCCATGCCATTTTTATTGTTATCTTTACTTTTAACATTTGTAGAAGTTTCATTATCTGAATTCGAATTGTATTCAGAAGTCATATTTGTCATGCTATTTGACCCATTTGAAATGCTATTACTACTCGATTGGCTTTCAGCATTTGAATGTTGGTAATAATCATGACTTTCTTCAATGTTGTGATCTATATATAAAATACTTTTAATTCAAAATTACGATAAAAAAGATAGATCAAAACATTATCGTAAGTTCACCTTTAGTATGCATGGCATAATTATCTTTTATGTTTATACCCATCGTTTTTTCCAAATATTCGTCCAACCCATCAAAAAAATCATCGTTAGCTTTAATATTCGGTTCATGATTAATTTCTTGGTTTTTGTCATTAGTTGAGGAATTCATCAAATTAATTTCAGGATGATTGCTAGCCAAGCTTGCTTCTTTTAAATTTCGTTGATCTATTAAATAACCAAGATGACGAGGATTGGTTCCTTTATTTGAACTATGAGCTATTTTCTTTACTCCTTTACCTTTTTTCTTTGCAGATGATGTGTTTTGTTCATCGATCCCCTGAACAATTTATTTAATTAATTTTATTTAAAAAATACATAAATGAAATATAATATATTAAGAAACCTTTCTTTTTTTGTCAACGTTTGTCTCTTTATTTTCAAAATTAATTTTAGGACAGTTATGTTTGACATATTTTTCCGCAACTCTTTCAGTGATAACATTCAAATCAAATTCATAATTAATCTCGTCGGCTAAAGCAGCTACACATTTTTCTCCCTTATTCCTTGCACATAGAAGATTAAGAATTTTTTCTTGTTTATAATTTTTAGTATAATCTAATAAAAAGCAGATTATTATTAATTTATAATTTTTTATATAAATACCTATTTTATTAAAATTTAAAAAATCTTTATGTAAATAATACTAAATGATTATATGTATGTATGTAATAAACATTATATACTAACCTTTCTTTTCATAATTGTTAATTTTGACTTCATTCCAATCTGTGATAAAATTTAGAATAATGACGGAAACATAGTTTTTTTTACTATAATCAGTTAGATACATAATAAATCCCGACATTCACGGTCCCGAAAGATCGGGGTGCTACTTTAGTGTTCTAAAAACAGTGTAAAAGATGTGTTTACAAGTTAGGTATTTAATTACCAAAATTTTCAAAAATAATTTTCTTACTCGAGTTTGGGTCAAAAATTTCACCAATTTTATTTGTTTCATTTTCTTGAGTGCAATTTCCTTTTAAGTTTTTTACTTTCTGGGCAGAATTATTTACTAATATGCATGAAGGGTTTCGTGCATTAGTTCCAGGATTTAACTCATAGAGATTAATTCCATTTTCATAAATAGCTGAAGTGCATACCATTTCAATCATCTTACCATTAATATCCTTAAATAAAATAAAATATTTTAGACTTATGTATTTTTAGCCATTTTTAAGTGCGTTTTTAATTTTTCAAAAAAAGTATTTGTTTCAATTTAACCGTATCTTGATTAATTACTCTCTCTCTCCCTCTCAAATAATTACGCTTTAACCCACTATTTTTCCTAACCTAATTTTAAAAATATTTAAAAATCATTATCAATTTCAATAATGGAACATTCTATGGATAAATATAAAAAATTATTCGAATAACAAAATTTTGTGGAGATATTGAGGGATTGAAAAGATTCAGGATATATATATATACTCTTAACCCTTCGATTTCTCCCCATATTCTGATAGAACTGGCATACCATCTAAACATTTAATTTCTCTCTCCAGTCAGAGAGAGAGAGAAATTTGCCCTAACTTGGCCGTGACCTAAGCTTTACTCACAACTAGAGACCGGATCGATACGATATATCGATGGAAAATATCGATATATCGATGTCGATATTATCGATACCGATATTATCGAACGATCAATCAAGTCCGGTCTCTACTCACAATATACATGTGAACTACCGGTTGGTTTACCGTGACACGCTTTTACTTTTTGTCACATTTTTTATTAAAAATTTTATTTTTAATTTACAAAACTTTCCTTGTATAATTTATATTTATTTTCAGGACATGTTTTTATTCTCTTACATTCAGATCTAAACATTCTTCTAGAATCTTTAGTTAGTTTTTTATTTTTATTTAAATATTCCAATTCAACTTTATTCTCCTCATTTTTTTCATCTGCACATTTAACAATAACTTTCAATTCATTTAATGATCTTGTTTCCCAAAAAAATTGTACAATTCGGAAAGGATTTTTAAATAAATTTATAATTTTATCAAAATCGTTTTCTTGACTTTTTGTTAATATTTTGTATTTTGCTGTGTATTTATGAAGAATAACATAAACTATTGAATTGTTTTCCACCATTATAGGATTAATTATCTAGAAATTTTAATAAGAGTGTTTTGATGACAAATCCACCCTGCCTACCCGTCTTCGAAGATTGGGGGCCCTTCCTAAGGTTACATCCCAAATCCGAAACAATAAGGTCAAATATTTAAATTTAAAATTAGGGGGGTTTTAAAAATATTCTCCTTAAACTCAAGTGTAAACGAACATTGTGTTCATTAATCGAAATTTCCAGAAAATATTTACTGCCTCCTAGCATTTCTCCAATAATATCATCCTGAGTAAAATGAAAGTTATCATATCCGTCAGTTTTTCCAACAAACTTTTGTCCACCTCTCAGTAAATTTCCTGTTAATTTCAAGTCGAAACGTTCCTTTGTTTCATCTGTCAAGTGATGCGGGTATTCAAATTTGTTTTCACTAATTTCCCTCCATGATATCTTTACAAATATGGACAATGGTTCAACATTTTTATAAAAGGTGTTTAAAACAAAAAATAATAAAAATAACCACATTTTCTGAAATTTATTTTTAATAATAAAATTTTATAGAGCGGGATTTTTTGTTAAAAAGGTATCAAATTAAGTAAATAACTGATAGTTTGAGACCTTGGATTTTATTTATTCCGGCAATAAAAAACTTGATGAAGCATTATTTTTTAATTTTAAATTTTTAAAAATGGCGAGGAAAGGGCAGAGAATAATTGAATGAGAGTGAACTATGCGCATGCGTCTAACTCCTTTACCATGGCAAGACTTGATTAAATTGATTTTTGAAATTAGAAAATCAATTAAAATAAAGAGAGTGGGGAAGAAAGAGAGGAGAGGAAGAAGCAGTCAAGGGCATGAATCGTGGATATAACTTTTATAAGAGTTTTAAGATAAAAGAGGAAAGGCCGGCAAAGACCTTTTCATTTGAGTTATTTGACAAGACTTAAGGCGGAAGACCTTTCTATGAAGTCAAATTAAACAGTCAAAATGCCGGCCAGATTCTTGATTTTATAAAAACCTGCTACACTTCTTGCCTGGATTCTCTTCTTCTCCCTCTCAATTTGAAATTTTCACAACTGACTACAACTTCAATCACATATAACCACACCACAACTTCACACCTGACCAAAATAGATGCCTTGTATACCTCTAAAGATTTGAATTGATTAATCCTTGAAATCTTCATACTTAACTATTTATTCTATATTGCCTACGGTAGATGGATTCAAACCGACCCTAATGTTTTTCCTACACCGAGGCTGCTTCGAAACTTTGGGATTAAATGTTTTTATAAAGTTAATCTAGGGTAACAATCCGACCCCCGAAACCCCGTGGATCACATCACACAATATTTGTTGATGTACTACTTACATATTAGGTGAGTTATTATTCAAAAGAGCTAGAAAAGAATGGTACACTCCAACTTACTGCGAGCCCAATTTACCGCAAAGCTATAACTTCGTTCAGAATTGTCGAATCTGGGACACCAAGTATCGTTCGATTCAGCTCGTTGAGACGCATCGAAACATGCCAGGGCGGCCCGGATTCGACAATTCTGAACGAAGTCATAGCTCTGCGTTAAGTTGACCTGCTCCCGAAAAGACGATTTCTAGATTTTAATTAGCGTTTTTTAGTCCTATTAATTTTTATTTTATTAATTAAAGAACTTACTATTATTAATAAAAATTAAAAAAAAATTTTTATTGATTAAAAATTAAATTTAATTAAATAGAGAAGAAAAGCTGTCAATAAAAAAAGAAAAAAATTTTTTTCTCTTTATCTGCTGGTTATTTAAAAAAATTATTTTCCTTTCTATTTTGTTGTCTTTAAAAATTAATTCCAGCGGGAGGCAGTGCCGATAACTGTTGTAACTTTTGGCATATTTTTTATAATTATTTTAATATGCCTGAATTAAATCTCAACCAGCTAAAAACACTGCCAACCGCTGCGAAATAATTAATAAATATTAAATAATGTTTTAAAATATTTGTTTGTTTGTTGTTAATGATTCACATGTAAAAAATTAAAATTTTGGTGATTCTATTGAATAAATGAAGAAAATTTGAAAATTGAAGAAAAAAATTTAAATAAATAAAAGAGAAATATTTTTTTGAACAATTAGAGAAACTTGAAAAAAACTGTGGGGAAAAATTAAAAATAAACGATGTGTTCAAATCGAGTCAGCCAATTATAAAATATAGTGCAGCAAAATAGCAAATACAGGATTCTTTAGGATTTTTCAAAAACGTGGAACGGGACAGGATCCTGCGGTATTAATATCGTGAATTCAGTTAATCCCGTTTATCGCTTAAAACACGGAATTCTGAGACGGGATCTCAAAAACCCCCGTACGGGATCTTGTTCCGTCTGCAATCTATTAAAGACCAACTTGTAAATGTAACATGTTAGCGATGTCACTACTATATTAGTAGTATTAATATAAAAATATATAAGTAGTATATTAGTGATATATTCTACACTATTATTGACATCGCTAACATTTTGCTATAAAATTTACAAGACGGTTTTTAATAGATTGCATATGAACAAGATCCCGTACGGGTTTTACGGGATCCCGTCCCGGAATTCCTTGTTTTAAGCGATATACGGGAGGGTGTTGGCTCTTTAATCTGAAATTAAAATTTTTTTAGCTACCTTTTGTTTGACTCAATGAATAGAAGAATTAAATAAAATAATAAAAAATTAAGAAAAAAATTTTTTTATTCGAATATAAACATGAATAATCTTCTCTCTCTCTTTTAATTTTATTGTTAAATCAGATGTTCATGTTTAGAAGAATTTAAATATACAAGGTTTGTTGTGTGAATGTGTACATATTTATTTGTTTTTGTGGGTGTTCTTTAATTTTTAGCATTTTTTAGTGCTGATTTTGTATTTTAGAAAGAGTTTTAGCAAGCAATATTTGATATAAGCGGTAAGGGTTGTGAGGAGGTATTGAGGAGGTTTTTTGGGGCGTGGCAGGCATGTGGCAGAAAAAATTTTTGGAGAGAAAATTGATTCGAGAATAAATAGAAAAGAGTAAAAAAGGGCAAAAGGGGAATATTTTAGGAGATAAAAATACCAAAAATAAAAATTAAAATAAACTTGGGAGAAGAATTAACACAATTATTATCATGTAAATTCATTTAGAAGCTGGTAGAAGGGGGGGGGGGGGGGAATATGGAGGGAGTGAGGGGAAAGATGGATGTACTTCTGCCACACCGTTTTGTTTTGTGTATATATTTATTTTTTATCTCTCTATATTTTTTAAATTTAAGAGAGAAAATAAATAAAACAACAAAATATAACAATACGAACGCTAGCCACAAGCATAGGGGGCGACAGTGGCGATAAGAAAAAAAGAGAAGGGAGAGAGGGGGAAGCGTTCGCCTCTCTCTATGGACCAGCCGATACGTGCCCCCCTCCTCCACACTATATTGACTACATTCTTGCCTTTGCTTTCTTTATAGGGGAAAGTGCGGGAAATAGAAGAAAAAATAAAAAATATAGTGTCTATTTATCTCTGCCACTGTTAAACCCAAAAACTCCATCTGCCCTAAATGACACGCCGAAAGGGGCGACTGGTTGGTAGGTTGACACATTGGGGGTAGTGATGAATTTGTGAGGAAAATCTACACTCTCTCCTCTTTTCTATATCTCTCTTCCCTCAATATTGTTTCCCCAAGTTTGTCATTCAAGCGAGGAGGGGATTAATGATAAAATGTTAGGCGATAAATGTTCCATAAGGCGAGAAAGACTAAAAGTTAAGGAAATAATCTTTTAGAAGAATATAGGGTTAAAATTTTTTGGCGCTTTTTTCGGTGCTAAAAAAGTTTCGGCGCTAAAAATAGTTGATGTGGGCAGAATTTCAATTTAGAATTTTATACTCAAAATTTGGGCATTTTGATCATTTTTGGACTTGCAGGCATTTTAGCCCAAAAACGATTTTGCCCCCATTTACAAAAATTATTTTTTTTCTACTCCCAAATTTCTTTTAAAAATTTTTCTCTAATCTTTTTCCACTCTCGTTTCCTGCCAGTCGAACGAACACTTCCCTCCCCCTCTCTACTTTTTTTTCTATTTTTCTAGCGTCAATATTCGCTCGCTTTATTTCTTTTTCTTTGTTTACCCCCTCCCATATATTGCTCATCAAATAAGTGAGGGGAGGGGAGGGGGGGGGGGTGAAATTCACGTCACATTTTTAAAGAAAAAAGAGGAACCGACAAAGAGGACATTGACGGCTTTATAAAGAAAAATTGCGCACTTTGTGGGAAATTAATAATTTAAATTTTTTTTAAAAAGTAAAAGTGCAGTAAAAGGGCAAAACAATTGTATCATATTATTAAAGTGCAAAATTAGTATAACTTCGTTTATTTAAATAATTTGGGTATTTTTAAATACATATTTTAAGGAACTAAAAAAATATTTATTTTAAAAGGATTTTTGAAACAGAAATAAAATTAAAAAAGCATTAAATAATTTGGGAGTTCATGTTTGAAAATGTGTACACTGATTTTTGTTTAAATTTTTCAGAATTATAAAATCGAGTTCTTTTTTAGAAATTTTATTTAATCAATTAGAGATCGGCAAAATCACATTTCCGGGATCCAGTAACGGGATCGAGTTTGAAAAGATCGAACGGGAGAAATCCCGCAGGATTAATCCGCTCGGGATCCCTCCCGTGCCGATCTCTAAGGTCAATTGCAGATGCCGACCAACGAAGTCTCAGCAGTTCATTGACGTTACTGAGCGATAGAAACAATGACTCAGCTTCACTGACTCGGTTTTCTCTCTTGCAGAATTTAAACCCTAGCCTACCCTCACAAAAAATAAAATAATTTCTACAAAAATTTAAATAAAAATTATATAAAATTGAAGGATGTCAAGGCATGGAGAGAATTTTTATTAAACGGATGATGTGATAAATAATTGAAAAAATGGGGTGAGAGAAGAGAAGAAAAGTTGACTTTCTTCTATTACTAATTCTTTCTCTTCTCCTTCAATTTTACTTTTAATTTTAAAAGGTCCAAGTCCAATCTTTTTAGTTGGTTTTGTCATTTTTTAATACATATATTTATTTATTTAGATGTTCTTTCTCATTTTTATTTAAAAAAAATTCTCGACTATTCATTCATTGTCATCCTTCTCCTTTCTTCTTCTCTTTCAAGCGTTCCTGTCCACCCATTAAAAAATCAACTTGTGTTCCTTTATCCCTTTGTTTGTATTTATTTTTAGTCTTTTACTCTCTTCGATCTCTGAAAAAAATAAAAGATATTGACTGAATTGCCCGCTATTTAGAAGAAAGGAAAGAACAGCTGTAGTGGCGGTTGTCATTAAAAAAAGGAGAGAGGAGCGTACCTAAAAGGCCAAAAACCAGCAATTTTTTGTTAGTACTTTTACGTTCCTTTTTTAAAATTTTGGGAAATTTTGTTTTAAAATTAAAAAAAAAATATTTTAGAAAATTTATAGATTTATGCCGAGTTTTTGGCCCGCTATTGGTTTTAAACTGAGGGTTGCCAAAATGGATCGAGTAGATAAAAATGATACACGAAACTGATTCGTATAGCCGATCAATAAAATAAGGACGAAAAATAGGGCTCGAAAAAATTTGGATTGACTCAAAGTATGTACATATGTCTCAATAATTTTAGGTGAAAAAGTTTTTTTGGGATTCCCAAAATTTTCTAAATTTCGTCTGCGGCGCTAAGAAAATAAGAAATCGAATTTTGGCCGTCCAAAATTCTAAAAAAATTTTTCTCAAACTAAAAGACCTCAGTTGGAAAATATCGAGTAGGGTTTGACGCACGTTTTTGATCCAGGTTTTCGGTTTCGGTTGATGAATAAACTGAGTTAAAAGAGGGGTTAAAGGTGATATCGAGGGATAGAGGGATATATTGGGATAAAATCCCTACATCATTCCGGTCAACTGAAGATAATGGTTCGATCCTGATCGTCGATTAACCTTCTGCAATAGCTGAAGGAGGAATGGCCATAGCCCAATTCTGTAAACTACTACAACCCAAGTAAATGATAAGAATGTTTTAATTATTTGTGCAACATTTTTTATAATCAACACATTTAAGGCTATGCAAGAGATGGGTTGGTGATATGGATAACACACATCAGTCAATAAAGATTTAAATGATCTTTTGCATTAGCTGAAGGAATACTTAATTTTGATTATCTTA